AGTTCTGTGGTTTATCTCTTCCCACCCCCCCACCCCCATCCCCTCTTCTGAGGGATGTCAGTCTGTGCCCTACTTCCATGTGTCTGGGTCTACTGTATTCCTCAGACTGTTATGTTCATTATATTCCGTATATAAGTGAGATCATGTGGTATTTGTCTTTTTCTGCTTGGCTTCTTTCACTTAGGATAATACTTTCCAGGTCCCTCCATGTCGTCTCAAAGAGTAAGAGATCTTTCTTTCTTACCGCTGCATAGTACTCCATTGTGTATATGTACCACAGCTTTTTGATCCATTCGTCTACTGGTGGACACTTGGGCTGTTTCCAGATCTTAGCTATTGTAAATAGTGCTGCTATGAACATGGGGGTACATATATTCTTCCTGATTGGTGTTTCAGGCTTCTTAGGGTATATTCCTAGCAGTGGGATCACTGGGTCAAATGGAAGTTCAATTTTTAATTTTTTGAGGTGACACCATATTGTTTTCCATAGCGGCTGCACCAGTCTGCATTCCCACCAGCAGTGTATTAGAGTCCCCTTTTCTCCACACCCTCGCCAACACTTGTTGTTTGATGATTTGTTGACAGTGGCCATTCTGACAGGTGTGAGGTGATACCTCATTGTTGTTTTAATTTGCATCTCTCTGATGATTAGTGATGTTGAGCATTTCTTCATATGTCTCTTGGCCATTTGTATGTCCTGTTTGGAGAGGTGTCTATTCAGCTCCTCTGCCCATTTTTTAATTGGGTTCTTTGTCTTCCTTTTGTGGAGTTGTATGAGCACTCTATATATATTGGAAATTAACCCCTTATCTGATACATCATTGGCAATGATGTTCTCCCATACAGTGGGTTGCCTTTCCATTTTGATGATTGTTTCTTTTGCTGTGCAGAAGCTTTTTAGTTTGATATAGTCCCATGTGTTCATTTTCTCCTTTATTTCTGTTGCCTTAGGTGATGTATCTGTGAAAATTCTGCTCCGTATGATGTCCAAAATTTTGTTGCCTACATTTTCTTCTAGAATTTTTATGGATTCACGGGTCACATTTAAGTTTTTTATCCATTTTGAGTTTATTTTTGTGTATGGTGTAAGTTGATGGTCTAGTTTCATTTTTTTGCATGTAGCTGTCCAATTTTCCCAACACCATTTATTAAAGAGGCTGTCTTTACTCCACTGTATGCTCTTGTTACCTTTGTCAAATATTAATTGAGCGTATTGCCTTGGGTCCATTTCTGGGTTTTCAGTTCTGTTCCACTGGTCTATATACCTGTTCTTGTGCCAGTACCAGGCTGTTTTGGTTACAGTCGCTTTGTAGTATAACCTGATATCGTACCAGGCAGTTTTGATTACAATGGCTTTGTAGTATACCCTGATATCCGGAATTGTGATCCCTCCTACTTTGTTCTTCTTTTTCAAGACTGCTGTGGCTATTCGAGGTCTTTTTTGGTTCCATATAAACTTTTGAAGTATTTGTTCTAGTTCTGAGAAATATGTTGTTGGTATTTTGATGGGGATTGCATTGAACCATAGATAGCTTTGGGTACTATGGACATTTTATTTTTTTATTTATTTAATTTTTTTTATGTGTATTTCTTTATCCTCACCTGAGGATATTTTTGCATTTATCTTCAGATAGAGCAGGAGGGAGAAAGGGAGAAAGAGAGAGAGAAACATCGACTGGTTGCCACCCACACGACCCCAGGGCCAGGGACAAAATGCAACCAAGGTACGTGCCCTTAGCAGGAACCAAACCCGGGACTCTGGTCCGAAAACCAATGCTCTAAATTCTGAGCCAAACCAGCCAGGGCTGGACATTTTAATGATGTTAATTCTTCCAATCCATAAATAAGGTATATGTTTCCACCTTTTTATATCTTCTTGTATTTCTTTTTTCATTGACCTGTAGTTTTCTGCGAAGTCCTTTACTTCTTCAGTTAAGTTTATTCTTAGGTATCTCCATTTTTTTGCTGCAATGGTAAATGGTGTTGCTTTTTTAGTTTCTCTTTCTGTGAGTTCTTTGTTGGTGTACAAGAACACCGTTGATTTCTCGATGTTAATTTTGTATTCTGGTACTTTGCCAAATTCATTTATTAAATCTAGTAAATTTTTGATGGAGTCTTTAGGGTTTTCTATGTACAGTATCATGTCATCTGCAAAAAATAACAGTTTCACTTCTTGCTTTCCAATTTGGATTCCTTTTATGTTTTCTTCATTTTTAATAGCTGTGGCTAAGACTTCCAGTACTATGTTAAGTAAGAGTGGCGAGAGGGGGCATTCCTGTCTGGTTCCTTTTCTTAAGGGAAATGCTTGTAGTTTTGCCCAAAGATAATGATGTTGGCTGTAGATTTTTCATATATTGCCTTTATCATGTCAAAATATAATCCTTCTATTCCTACATTGCTGAGCATTTTTGGGTGCTAGATTTTGTCGAATGCTTTTTCAGCATCAATTGATATGATCATATGGTCATTATCTTTCATTTTGTTTATGTGGTGTATCACATTTATTGATTTGTGGATATTGTACCATTCTTGAATCCCTAGGATAAATCCCACTTGGTCATGATGAATACTTTTTTGATGTAAGGCTGGATTTGATTTGCTAATATTTTGTTAAGGATTTTGGCATCTGTGTTAATCAGGGATATTGTCCTGTAGTTTTCTTTCTTTGTAGTGTCTTTATCTGGTTTTGGAATTAGAATTATGCTGGCCTCATAAAATGAGTTTGGAAGTCTTCCATCTTCTTGGATTTTTTGGAATAGTTTGAGGAGAATGGGTGTTAGATCTTTTTTGAATGTTCAGTAAAACTCCCCCATGAAGTCATGTGGGTCTGCACTTTTGTTTGCTGGATGTTTCTTGATTACATCTTCAATTTCCTTAGTTGTTATTGGTCTATTCAAGTTTTCTCTCTCTTCCCGGTTCAGTTTTGGGAGACTATGTGTTTCTAGAAATTTTTCCATTTCACCTAGATTGTCCAATATGTTGGGGTATAATTTTTCGTAGTATTTTTTAATGATCATTTGTATTTTGGGGGTGTCAGTTGTTACTTCTCTTCTTTTGTTTCTGATTTTGTTTATTTGGGTCTTCTTTTTTTGTGTCTTGGTGATTCTGCTGAGGGTCCATCAGTCTTCTTTATCTTTTCAAAGAAGCAGCTCTTTGTTCCATTGATCTTTTGAATTGTTTTTTGGCTTCTATGTCATTTATATCTGCTCTGACCTTCACTATTTCTTTCCTTCTACTTGTTCTGGGCTTTTCTTTTTGTTTACTTTCTAATTCTTTGAGTGTTCCTAAATATTTGTAAAAATCAAAAGCAATAGTGGGTAGAAAGCCAGAGGTGACTACTCAAGACATCTTCAGAGGGAAGCCCCTAGATACTGACATAGAGGCTCCTTCTGTGATAGTGACAAAGGCAAGAGCAGTCTCATTGTGAGCTGAATTGTTTTCACATTAAATACAATGGGAAGTGTGTGAGCCTTGCTACAGAAAAGATGGAAACTGAGGAAAACAAAAAAGAAAGCTCTTTTTTCAAAGATTGTGTCTAATGCATGGCAAAGAGAGAAGTGGGTCTGTCTGTGAGAGTGCAGCACGGGAATTCATTGAATACCTACTATGTGCCCAGAAGCTACCACATTCATAATTTCCTTACCAGGTAAATTATATGACTTGGGAAAGTAAACCGTGGCTCAGTGAAGAGCAGTGACTTGTCCAAGGTCATAAGTATCATATCTTATGAAGACTTTTTGGATGATCAATCCCCAAAGGAGACTCAGCCCCTCTCTCCATTACTTCCTGCACACTCCCACCAGGGCCCTGTAATGATCTCCTCCAATCACTGTTCTTTTAAAGCATGTCTTTCCCCTTTGTTGTACTGGGTTCTTGGAGTATCTGGGTCTTTTCCATATTCACACATCCAGTACAAATCCCATACACCATAGGTTCTTGTACAATATCTACTATATGAAATGCTGAATCTGCTATTGCAAATATTACATTTCCAATTTTGACTACATCTACACTACACCTTATTTATTTATTTATTTATTTTTTAATTTATATTTGTTTTTTGTTTTTATTTTTTTATTAATAGTTTTGTTACAGATGTTTCTCCTTTTTCCTCCACTGATTCTCCCCTCCTATCCTTCCCTACCCTGTCCCCAGCTTTGTTGTCCATGTCCATTGTTCATGCACACATGCATATAAGTTCTGTGGTTTATCTCTCCCCCATCACTCCCTGTTCTGGGGATTGTCAGTCTGTACCCCACTTCCACATCTCTGGGACTACCCCATTTCTCAGACTGTTATGTTCGTTATATTCCACAAATAAGTGAGATCATATGATACTTGTCTTTCTCTGTTTGGCTTGTTTCGCTTAGGATAATACTTTCTAGGTCCCTCCATGTTGTCTCAAAAGATAAGAGATCTTTCTTTCTTATAGCCGCATAGTACTCCATTGTGTATATGTACCACCGCTTTTTCACCCATTTGTCTACTGATGGAAATTTAGGCTGTTTCCAGGTGTTAGCTATTGTAAATAGTGCTGCTACAAACATGGGGGTACATATATTCTTTCTGATTGGCACTACACCTTATTTAAAGTATACATAAAAAACAGCTGTGGTAACCCTGACCCCCTTCTTCCTGCAATTTGCCCAATAGAATCCAATAGTCTGGGGTGAAGCCCAGCCATCTGGGCTGCCACAAGTCTTCTAGGAACAGTGAGAACCCTTCTTTATCCCATTTTATCTCACAATCACAATGTAACTTTTATTACAATGATGATGATGATGATTATCCTCATTTTACAGATGAGCAAACTGAGGCTCATGGAATTCTCTGTTTTATTCAAAAAAGAAGCAAGTGACTAAATAAACCCATGTCAGAGGTTCATATCCAAGATGGAAGATTTGGGTATGCCTAATTATGAATAAAGCAGGAAAGGGGGGCAAGGAAAGAAACCACGGACAACTCAAAGGGATACAGAGGCCCAACCAAGCCCTCCATACCTGAGGCACTTGCGGAGAGTTCACTAACTCCATTCTGAGTTTGGGCCTTGTGAAGCATCAAAGGGCTACTCACTCTCATAGTTACTAAGACAAGAAAAATTGTTAACATAATTTTCAAACATTTCATATAAAAATACACGGTGTCCCAAAAAATGTATACACAAAAAAGTATAATTATAAAGCCAATGTTATTAAAATACATTTCATTTTCAAAATGTAATAGAATCTACAGACACTCTGTGTACATTTTTTTGGGACACCTTGTACATTACTGTAACTGGTGACAATCTACTTTCGAATAGATCTAGCAAGGTACCTTGACTCAAAGCTTGTTTCCCTGCATGGGAGATATACATACATTATCTTTCTCCCCAGAATTTTCTAAATACCCTTGTTTGGACAGGATAGCCTCTACTCCCAAGTTACTCAGGCATAACTGCCACCCACAAACATTCACTCGGAAATTCCTCTTCTCATATACCTCAGCATAGTTAAAAAAAGAAAGAAAGAAAACCAATAAAATGTGCCTAAGCAATAAAAATAAATAAATAATAACTTCCTTTAATACATCCCCTCAAATATTTGCAAATAATTAATTCACTGTTAATAAGTTGAGAATAATTATTTTGTATTTTGTAATAAAGAGAGGCCATCTCCTGCCCCAGCAAAAGTAATTTTAAGTGAGTCACTGCACTGTTAGGACGCTGCTTACTGGGAAGGGTGAGCTGGCCAGCAGCCTTGTCACCTTGGGACTGCTGCCTGCCTCCCTTTATCCACACTGGCTCCTTTGTCCCTCTCCCTTGGTTGCACTGCCAGTTCTGCTTGCCAAAAAGGCAGAGGGGTTTCCAGTGAGTCACCAAGAGCAGGTGGTAACTGAGAGACTGTGTGGAGAGAGAGTCACCACTCAGTTATATTTAGAACAGCACAAAAAATCCCAGCCTCTGTGGTTTCCACCTGTTCAGATGTCCTTACAGCAACACCACTTCTGCTGAGCCATGCCTCTTTCTCACAGGGCCCTGCCCTAGATCCTGTCTCCTGATGGTTATAAATGACTCTTGGTGGCCCCTGCTGCTTACAACAGTCATCCTATTTCTCTTGGCATAAATTCCTCCACAAGCTCCAAGTGTCCAAAGGGACTTATTACAGGGCCCCAAGCTTGTCCAGCAGGGGCTCCAACTCTCTTCCTGTTGCCAAACCTAAGGGTCTAGCTAAATCCTTGTGCCAGGGATTTCTACCTGAATAACATGTAAGAGGTGACAGGAAAATGGCAGCGGAGTGAATGGAAGCTACACAGACAATCTCCCAGGACCAAACAAGAATTACAACTAAAATAAAGACAAATCTTTGGAAAAAAGCAACACAAAAGCAGCGGGACAGGATCATATAACCAGGGAGACCGGTAGGATCTGTGGAGATGAGAGAGGTGGTGGGCTGGGAGCCCAGGGACAGCAGATGTCTTAGCTGTGAGCAGTGCCCTCGGGGATAAAATACCAAGCTTGCTCCACAGCACAGAAGGCTGGAACAGAGCACTGGTTTGGCTAGAGCCACTCACCTGGGCTCCAGAAAAGGGAGGGCAGACTGGACTGGAATTCTGTGGGGACACCCAGGATTTGGAGGGAACTCAGAGTTTTTGCTGAGTCATGGCCACAAAAAACGGTGGCCAGTTTGTTCCTTCCCAGAGTTCTGAGGAAAAGCAGCAACCCATCCCTTGGAGATTCAGCCTTTCCCAGGTGAGGTCAAGAAATGTAAATTGAGACTCATTAAAAACCAACAGCTATCCCAACCTTTTAGAAATCCTCTTACACAGAACACCAGGGCAACATCCCAAGGCACTGAGTAACTGACACTACAAGCCTCCAGGCAAAAAGTTAAAGGATAACTGAACCTTTCCTGGGCTTGAAAATCTACCAGGAAAGTAAGACTTCACTGTGGGGTTTAACGTAGGCCCACCCATGCTCATCCAAACCCAGTAGAGGGAGCCACAAACAGCAGAACACCAACACACACTGGGAAACTTCAGCAGGCTCAAAAACCCACCAAGATAGGAAAACTGTGAAACAAAGAAACAAATCCCAAATGAAAGAACAAGAGAACTCTATCAAAGATGAGATAAATAAAATGCAGTTAAGCAAATAATCAGAGGTAGAGTTCAGAGCCATAATCTTGAAGCTCAACAGCATGAGTAAGGACATCAGCACCATGAGTAAAGATATAGAAACATTAAAATCCAACCAAGTGGAAATGAAGAATGACATAGCAGAAATAAAGAACACATTGGAAGGACTAACCAGCAGAGCAGATGAACCTGAGGACCGGATCAGTGAATGAGAAGACAGGGTAGACAAAATCAACCAAACAGAATACCAAAAATAAAATAAAAAAATTTTTTTTAAAAAATTAAAAAACAGGAAGACAGCTTAAGAGAACTGTGGGACCACTGGAAACGAAATAACATTCGCATCATAGGAGTCCCCGAAGAGGAAGAAAATGGTCAAGGGTTAGAGAATATATTTGAAGAAATGGTGACAGAAAACTTTCCTAACTTGGTGAAGGAAGAAAGCATTCAAGTTCAAGAAGCACAGAGAGCCCTAACTAAGACGAACCCAAACAGGCCCACACCAAGAGGAAGAAAATGGGCAAGGGTTAGAGAATATATTTGAAGAAATGGTGACAGAAAACTTTCCTAACTTGGTGAAGGAAGAAAGCATTCAAGTTCAAGAAGCACAGAGAGCCCCAACTAAGACGAACCCAAACAGGCCTACACTAAGACACATAGTAATCAAAATGCCAAAAATTAAAGACAAACAGAGAATCCTAAAGGTAAGCAACAGGTTACCTACAAAGGAAACCCCATAAGGCTCTCAGCTGACTTCTCAACATAAACACTATATAAGGAAATGGCATGAAGTAAGGTCATGAAAAACAGGGATTTGAATCCAAGACTACTCTATCCAGCAAGGCTTTCATTGAAAATAGAAGGTCAAATAAAGAGCTTTCCAGACCAAAAAAAAAAAGGCTAAGGGAATACATTAGCACCAAACCAGCAATGCAAGATATGCTAAAAGGACTGATGTAATTAGTAAAAGTAATAAGAAGAAAAATAGAACCACAATAAATAAAATGGCAATAAATAAATACATATCAATAATCACCTTAAATGGAAATGGTTTGAATGCTCTGATAAAAAGACACAGAGTAGCTGACTGGATAAGAAAACATGACTTACATATATGTTGTTTACAAGAGACACACCGCACAACAAAAGACTCACATAGGTTGAATGTGAAGGGATGGAATAAAATATTCTAAGCAAACAGAAAGAAAATAAAGCTGGGGAGCAATACTCACATCTGATAAAGTAGATTTCAAAATGTAGACCATAACTAGAGACAAAGGCGGCCACTACATAATATTGAAAGGATCTATCCAACAGGAAGATATAACCTTGGTATAAATATGTGCACCCAATATAGGAGTACCAAATTATATTAAAATTTTTCTGGAGCACTTCCAGGAAAAAGCAACAGCAATACAATCATAGCAGGGGACTTCAATACCCCACTGACATCACTGAATAGCTCATATAGACAAAAAATTAACAAGGAAACACAGACACTAAATGAAATGCTAGATCAAATGGATTTCATAGATATCTACAGAGAATTACATCCCAAAACTACAGAATTCACATTCTTCTTAAATGCACATGGGACATTCTCAAAGATAGACTACATGATAGGGCACAAACTAAGCCTCTACAATTTCAAGAAGATTGAACTTATATCAAGCATCTTCTCAGATCACAATGGCATGAAACTAGAAATCAATTCCAACAAGAACAGGCAAAGACATTTGAAAACATCAAGGCTAAATAGCATGTTATAGAACAATAAATTAGTTACCATGGAGATCAAAGAAGGAATTAAAAATTTCCTGTAAATCAATGAAAATGAACACACAACAATACAAAATCTACGGAATGCAGTGAAAGCAGTTCTGAGAGGAAAGTTCATAGCACTATAGGCCTACCTCAAGAAACAAGAAAAATTTCTAAAAGACTATCTAACCACACAACTTAAATAACTAGAAAGCAAGCAAACAAACAAAAAACCCAGAGCAAGTAGAAGGAAGGAAATAGTAAAGATCAGATCAGAAATAAATGACATGGAGACCAAAAAAAACAATTCAAAGGTTCAATGAAACAAACAGCTGGTTCTTTGAAAAGATAAGCAAGATTGATGGACCCTTAGCTAGACAGACCAAGAAACAAAGAGAGAGAACCCAAATACACAAAATCAGAAATGAAAGAGAAATAATAACTGACACCACAGAAATACAAAGGAACATGAACAAATATTATAAACAATTATATGGCAACAAATTTAACAATCTAAGCAAAATGGACAAATTTCTAGAAACACAGTCTCCCAAAACTGAAGCAGGAAGAGATAGAAAACTTGAACAGACCAATAACATCTAAGGAAATTGAAGATGTAATCAAGACTCTCTCAGCAAACAAAAGCCCAGGCCTGGATGGCTTCATGGGGGAATTTTAGCAAACATTCAAAGAGGAACTAATACCCATTTTCCTCAAACTGTTTTAAAAAATTCAAGAAGGAAGACTTCCAAGCTCATTTTATGAGACCAGCATAATTCTAATTTCTAAACCAGAAAAAGACTCTACAAAGAAAGAAAACTACAAACCAATATCCCTGATGAACACAGATGCCAAAATCTCGAACGAAATATTAGCAAATCAAATCCAACAATACATCAAAAAAATTATTCACCATGACCAAGTGGGATTCATTCCAGGGATGCTCGGCTGGTACAATATTCACAAATCAGTAAATGTGACATACCACATAAACAAAATGAAAGATAAAAATCATATGATCATATCAATAGACGCTGAAAAGCATTTGACAGTATTCAGCACTGATTTCTGATAAAAATGCTCAGCAATCTGAGAATAGAGGTATCATATCTGAATATAATAAAGGCCATATAGGAAAGACCTACAGCCAACATGATACTCAGTGGGCAAAAATTTTTTAAAAATTCTCTTACGAACAGAAAAAGGA